AACGCACGCCGATGCCCAGGGGGCCGTGACATCCCCAACACTTCCCTGAAACATCCCCAGTTGCCCTCCTTAGCTGCTCAGCCAAATTCGCCAGATCGCCAGACGGCCCTTTACCAGATCAAACTGCCGTCGGTCCCACGCATCTGAGTAGGAGGAGGAGGGAAGAGGGAGGAGGCGGGAGGAGGGAAGGGGGGAGGATCATGAATTATGATGGGGGGAGGGAGGAGGGAGGGAGGCGGGAGGCGGGATGGAGGGCTGTGCCAGGGGAAGGGGTGCCCGGAAGCCCACGGGGGGAGCCTGCGCGCGCAGCGGGAGGACGGCGAGGGCGACGGCAGCGGTGACGACGTACCCCCCCCCCTCTCGCGGCCCGCCAGGCGCGGCGCACCGCGGCGCACCGGAGCCGCTCTTCCCGGCGACCGCGGCCGCTGGGGAGGCTGCAGCGAGGAGGGTTCTCTCGGGGGAGGGAGGGGGGAGGGAGGGGGGAGGGAGGGAGGAGGGAGGGATGGGGGAGGGAGGAGGGAGGGAGGAGGGAGGGAGGGAGGGAGGGAGGGAGGCAGGGAGGTAGGACGGCAGAGGGTTTTCGGGAGGAGGGACGCAGAGTCTCCATTCCCAGCCCCTCGCGACAGCCAGGGAGGCCCCAGCGAGAAGGGTTTTGGGGGGAGGATGGGTGAGGGGTACCGTTAAGGGGGGATCTAGTCTCGAGGATCGAGGTTCGTTTTTTGGAGGTGTTTGATCGTCCTGGGCTGCCCCCGCGGCCACGGCTGGATCCACCTCGGTGGAGGGACCTCCCACTTCCTCGTGTCGTGAGCAGAACCACGGCGGCAGTTTTTCTGTCATTTTCGGCCTCCAGGGTCCCTCGGTGGGCCCCGGGACCGTAAAAGCACCTGCTCGGAATGTAAAGCCAGTCCTGGGGAAGGGGCCCAGAACTCTGGGGCACCACGCTGCGAGCAAAAACACGGCTTCGGAGCTCTGGGTGAGGGAGGAGAGAGGCAGGAGCACCACGGGGCAACGCTGGGGGGGCAGGCCCACGCGGGGGGACGCATCACCTCCAATCATCCCCGGATCGCCGATGGGGACCCGACAGCCCCGCCCCGCCCAGGAACGTGCGGTTTCGCCATCGGGGGCACCTCGCCGATCCATTGGCGATTGCAGCTCGGCGCTGCCCCCAGAGCCCGGCCCCCCTCTCGTTGCCCTGCAGAGGAGGGAGGGAGAAGGGAAGCGAAGCGAAGCGAACCGTTCTGCTGACTGGCCGCGGCGGGCCGGGCGCGCCTGGATGCGCGCCTGGGCAGACCGAGTGAGGCGGGGAACGTGGAAGCAACATCTACGAAGCTATTTCAGAAAACGATTACGACAGCGACAACGGCAACGACGACGAGGGGGGAGGACGGAGGAGAATCGAATAGGAGTGTGAGGTGGAGAATTGGGCTTCGAGGTTCGAGTTTGTTTTTTCTCCAGTTTCGTGCTCCAGGGGTCCTTTTCGGACCCTGGGCAGCCAGAAGACGATCTGGGCTGAACCTCTGGAGGGGTCCTGGGAACGATTCTGAGTGGATTTTGGTTGGGAGGAAGAAGAGGGGGAGGAGGAGGAGGAGAGACAGAGTAAGCTCAGGGTATCATCGAGGCTGCCAGTGTACCCGTCTCAAGTCCCCTATGCAGAAGTCCCTACAAGCATCCTTTCGGCTACGGCAAGTGCACCCTTGAAATACGAGCGCCTCACGGCAATTGGCTATTGGAGGCTGTCCTGTCTTGGGGGGTTCTGTAGCCGTCTGGGGAGGGTTACCCTGCATCGCGAAAAATCACGACGGACGGCTTCTGGCAATTTTTGGCTTCGGGGGCCCGTACTGGGCCCCGGATCTGTTAATAAAATGGCTCCGGATGACAATTGTGTCCCAAGGGAGGGGCAGAGTTCTGTGAGAGTCTCGTGTGGCAGAATCACGTCGTCGTAGCGGCGATTCCATGTTTTCGGCCTCCAGAGACCCGTTTTTCGGGCCCCAGAGCCATCAAGGAAGTACAACACCGGGGTCAAAGACCAGCCTTGGGTATGGGGTCGGGAGCTCAGGGTTGCGTCACAGAGACGGGGAACAAGCAATGTCCGCTGGAGGTCTGGGGTAGGTATTGTGCTCTCGTGCGGCGATGATTGCTGCCAACATCGACAAAGTGCTCGAGTGATGCCTACCGCTGCAGGCGCGGAATGATTGAGGATCCGTAAGTTATTTGCCAGTGGGAGCGGGCATTTCCACAGCGCTTCGGATCCGCTAGCCAGGCGATAGCAGCGGAGCGGCATCGGAAAGCCCTTTTCACTGCACCTCTTCACTGTCACCTTCCATCGTGTGCGTCGCAGTGCTCTCATTCAAGACTCCCTCTCCCGCCCGTCTCACATAATTTCAGGTGTTCACAGCTTGCGGAGGATGTTGTCGCTGGGGTGTCCGATCTCCTCTCCTCCACGAGAAGGCCCTCCCATTCAAGACTCCAGCCTTCGCTCTCGCCCTCCCTCCTACATCCCTGCGGCCCACCTTCGATCCACCTCTTGTTTCGGCGGCGCACCGAGGGGGGATGTGAGAGGGGGCAAGCCTTTATCAGAAGGCGGCGGGGCCTCGGAGAAGGCTTATCAAGCTCCTCGGAAGGCTGGAGGCCATGCGCCATGCGAATTTTCTGAGAAGGCCCGCCCCCTCTGCCTTTCTCCCAGGGCGAACCGCCGAGTGTGGTTTTGTTTCGGCTCCGCCTCTCCCGCCTCGCTTTGCGCATGTGCGTGCGCACGTGGCTGCTCACTTGCTTCCGCTCCCGCCTCGGACTCCGCCGTACCATGTAGCCCTCGTGGCTCAAGGTGGCTCACGGGAACGGATCGGCGCGCGCAGTGCCCGGCTCGCTGTGCCCGATGTCGCGCCATGCCTTCGGGGAGGTGTGGAATCAGTGCGCCATGCGGCCGGTGATCCACGGCAACGTGGCGGGCGAAAGCTACCCGAAGAAGACCCCCGCAGGCGGCTGCGGCTTCGACGGCGTTCCGAACGACTTCCCGCCGGAGAAGAGGTGCAGATTCTGTTCTCTTGGCCGAGGACGAGGAGGAGGATGAGGAGGAGGAGGATGATGATGATGAGGAGGAGGAGGAGGAGGAGGAGGAGGACCACGACGATGACGACGACGACGAAGAGCAGCGGCAGCGGGAGGGAGGAGAGGGGCATGAACAGGACGAGGAGGCCATTCGCCTCCTTGAAAGGCTCACCCCTCTCGCCGGGGGTGCGCGCTGCCAAGATGGCAAGAGCGACCTGTCGCCAGGAGGTAGAACGAGTACCAATGGAACGCCGCCGTGCGTGTTTCTCATTCGTTTTGGTCCGAAGGCGTGGTGCTTCGTGGGAAATGCAGTCACGGCGCGTATCAAGAAACCATATGCTTTTCGTGAAGACATCCTGGGTTTCTTCGCTCCGCGAGCTGCGAGGTGACTTCCCACAGCCGTTGAAGAAGCTGGTGCGTTCAGGGTGCTTTTGGTTTTCCCTCAGGTGCACCTCGCGCGCGCGTTTTCTGGGTTGGCTTTCTTGCGAGGGTTTCTTGCGGCCGCGCCCGCACTGGAACACGCTGATGGCTTCCCCACAGCGGCGTGTCATTGTTTTTCTGCCCCCCGCCCCCCCACATATGCCCAAATGAGCAACGTCGAAACATGGGGTCAGCGCCAACGATAGCGCGGAGGTTGCCCGCGTAAGGTCGCGTGCGGGCGCCATCTTCTTTCCGCGCAGTGTGCCGCGTTGGCGGCTTGCGCAGGCCATCACGCAAGATCGCAATGCCATCATGTGTACTGTTGGGAGCCTTTGCCTACTGGTCGCGCCGCTGGCTCTGGCCACCACGCTTCAGCGCGACACGCCAATCACATCCCTGTCCCCGAACCTCAACGTCCCGAGCTTTCCCAAGCCTCCCGTCCCGCGAAGCGGAGTCACACGCTATCCAGGCCCCATTGCCTTCGTCGCCCGAGTGCCCTGGGACGCCAGTCATACACTGGCGCTGCGCCTCCAAGTCTCGGCCCAGCGTCGGCGTAATTACGCGCCTCCACGTCTCGCCAGGGAGGCGTACGTTTCTTGGGGGGCCCCTGATTGGTTCAGCCGAGAGCTGCGTCGGTGCACAGACGGCGCCCTCACAAAGAGAGGAGGCAGAAGAGGAGGCGGATGAGGAGGAGGAGGCGGCGGGAGGAGCAGGAGGCGAGGAGGAGGAGGAGGAGCATCCCTGGACCCCGCTGGAACGCCCTCCTGGGGTCACCGCGGACACGCCCCCCAAACACCCTCCACCCCCTGCACACCCCGAGCCCTCCCAGACTTGTCCTGCCTCCTCCTACCTCCTACAAACCTCCTCCGAGGAGGAGGTGGCGGAGGCTGGCGCACGATCTGCCTCCCCCCTCTTGCGCAAGCCCGCGCTGGCCGCGCCGAGAGCCGAGCGTGTGTGCCCTGTCTCTGCAGGTCAGCTTTTCTGACACATTCTGCCGGGCTTCAGTTTGGCACACTGATGTGCACGAGAATCTGCGGCGGTCGCCGTTCGTCTGGGGAGCACCTCGCTCCAGGCCACGCTCATCGGGCCCATGATCGTCACTCTTGATACGATCGAGGTGTGTACGGAAAGAATATGTACGGAGACCGACTGTAGTTCATATCGATGCCGCCGCTGACTTTGTCCATTTGGGACAGGAGGACGCCTGCCCATCAGCGGCCGCTGTTGGCTTCCGACACAATATGCTATTGGGCACCGTGCCAAATTCTAGCGTCCAAACACTTCGAGGTTGCGGTCTGCTGTCTGTCGGGGGGAAACAAAAATACACGCCCCCAGCTGGGGCGTCGGATCCCCTGGCGCAGATTGGACCCGCGGGGGCTCGGTATGTTAAGATCAGGAACTTTTGATTTGCATGTCGCGCCGCCGGTTCTGGCCCACCACGCTTCTGCGCGACACGCTAACCGCGTCCCAGTTCCCAGGCATCAGCGTTCCTCGTCTTTCCCGGCCTCCCGTCCCGTGAAGCGGCGCGACAGGCTGTCAGCATATGTCAGCTTGCCTGGCACAGCGTGTCGCAAGGGCCGCCGCCGCGACGCGCGGAGCAAACGTTCCCGACCGCGGGCTGCGCAAGCGGTCGCAGAGAGAGAGAGAGAGAGGTCAGCGGCGAAATCCGAACCCTGCCCTCGCCGATCAACGATTCAGGCAACTCGATGGGCGGCGGGGGCAGGGTTCGGAATTCGCTGAGTATGCGGGGAACTCCGAACCCTGCCCCTGCCTCGCATCGGCTTAGGAGAACCGATGGCTGGTCGGGGTAGGGTTCGAATTGTTGCCATCCAAGAGGCAGGCCGCGGGCCGCCCTCTTCCCTGCGGGCAGGTGTTGGTACACCCGCGGGGCCAAGGGCGTGGCCGCCGGCAGCTCCAAGTCCGACAAGAGGAGCTCCAGCTGCGGGCCCGCCTTTTGGCGCCTACCGGCGGCCCACCCTCTCGGGGGTTACCAAAGGTGTCACCCCTGGCTCCGGGCACCCCCAACCGTGCGCTTTACTCTGGAGCCCCTGGGGCCCTCGCGAGGAGTCCTCTGGATGCGTCGGGGCCTCCTCGGGAGACCCTGAGGGCACCTTGGGCCAGGGGCACTTCTGGCAACACCCGGCCCTCGGCGGCGTCGCCGGCCCTCAGCGGCCCTCGGCAGACGAGACGAGACGGGACGGGGCAAGGCGATGCAAAGCCATACGAAGCCCAACATAATACGCCGAGGCAGCCTCCAGGTCGGCCGAAGATGGCTCGATGACCCCTGGACGAACGACCCGTTCCTGTCCCCGAGAGGCCAACATCATCAAAACAACGATAGAAGACCACACTGGTGTTCGTGCCTTCTCGCCTTTTCGCTCCCGATGGGGTGAGGCCTCAGGATGGCCGCCAGATGGCCCCAAGAGAGCCCGAAGGCTGGCCCAGGAGGGACCCAAGGTGGCCCCAGAGGCTCTCAAGGGAGGCCCAGCAGGGCCCAAGAGGGCCGCCAGCTGCTCCCAAGATCGGAAAGGTCAGCAAGGACCAGCGTCCTCCAAAAGGCAAAATCATGTATTTCCTGCTGCTTTCAATTATTGTTGTACCGCGTCGGTGTACGGAGGCGCGCATCCAGCCGCCAGAAGTCTCCAATAGGCCCAAATCCTTCAAAAAACGAATGGGCCAACACTGTTTTGGTTGCCCTCCCGCTTTTTCGCTCACGATGGCCTTTTGAGGCCTCAAGGTGGCTTTAAGACGGCCACGAGAGAGCCCGAAGACGGGCGCAGGAGTGGTTCCAGACGGCCCCAAAGGCCCGTAAGAGGGCCCCCAAGGGAGGCCCAAGAGGGCCCCCAAGCGGACCCAAACCAGTTCGAAATCTTGAAACTGCCAGCAGGGGCAATCGCCCTTGGCGTTAGAACAGCCACAAGAGGCCCTCGGATGCCCCAATGGGTCCCCCAAAGGCCCCCAAAGGCCCCCAAGAGGCCCCCAAGAAGCCTCAAACATGCCCCAATAGGCTCCCACGAGGCCGTGATGTCCTCGAGATGTCGAAGCCTGGACCTGAGGGAATTCATGTTTCTCAAACGGACTAAACATTCTCCAGGACTGTTCAGGCGCGACGTCCGGGAGATGTTGACGCCCTGGTCTGAACGGTTTCATGGGTTGGACATTATCAATGTCGTTGTGGGGCAGCATGGGCATAGGAACGACACTTCCGCCGGGCAGCCAATTGCGGCTGTGGAAAGTTGGAGCGAGTGGGATGCCGCTTGCGACGATGCTGGTGGTGAAGCTGTTGATGCTGGTAACGAAGCGGACGAAGAGATGGCGATGAAGCTGATGATGATCACGGCGGTGATGATGGTGGAGGTGGTGGCGTTGATGAAGCTGAACATGACGATGCGTACGACGATAATGACACATATGAATCTTGGGATGCTGATGAGGATGATGCATATTACGACGACGATGATGATGCTGATGATGCTGCTGATGATGCTGCTGATGGTGGTGATGGTGGTGATGATGATGGTGACGGCGATGCTGATGACGACGATGATGGTGATTACGATGATGATGGTGGCGATGATGGTGCTACTAGCAATGATGCCGATGACGATGATGATGACGATGATGATGACGATGATGATGATGCTGATGATGCTGACGATGCTGATGCTGATGCTGATGCTGATGTTGTTGCTGCTGATGATGATGATGATGATGGCGATGATGCTGCTGATGATGACGATGCTGGTGGTGGTGATGATGATGATGCTGTTGCTCCTGATGATCAGGTTGTTGATGATGATGGTGGTGCTGATGATGATGCTCAGGACGATTATGCTGCTGATGTTGTTGTTGCTGGTGATGACGACGATGACGAGGATGGCGATGACGTCGCTGATGATGGCGATGGTGATGCTGATGGGTGGTGCCAGAGGAGCTCCAGCGCCGTCTCCTCGGCGGCCCACACCGCGGCGTCGGAGCCCCAGGGCCTGGCGGCGGGGGCCTCCGAGGCGATGCCGCTCGCCAACGCCGCCGCCGCCGCCGCCTTCGCCGCCGTCACCGGCGCTGGCGCCGCCGCCCCCCTCGGGGGAAGAGTCGGGGGAGGAGAGGTGGGCTCCGCGCAGGAGTGCCCTCCGTGTCCGGGCTCACGGGGGTCTCCCCAGCACTGGGCTTGCACGCTTGGATCCGGTCCGCCGTGCTGCCCCCTGAAGCCACGCACCAAAGATCCCTCTTCCCCAGGGTCTCTCATGGCGTGTAGCCGAGTGGGCCAGGAGGGTCGAGGGTCGAGGTTCGAGGTTCGCTCTCTGGAGGTTGCTGGTCGTCCTGAGGCGCCCCCGAGGCCACGGCTGGAGCCGCGTCGAGATTCTGGCCAGAACGCACGCCAGGAGGTCCATGTGTCGGTTCTTGGCCATGATCAGGGGCAACTTTCAGGGGGTGGACGCACCGACCACACCCGTTCGCCCGTGCATCGTCGTTGGGGTCCCGATGGGCGCTCCCGGCTCAGGGCCGAGCGGATTCGCTGTCGGGGGCCCGACGCCGATCTGTCGGCGACATGTTGCCGACTCCAGGCCGATGTTCCCCCCCTGAGCCAGTCTCTCCCTGACGTCGTGGAGCTCTCGGGGAGGATGGGAGGATCGAGGATCGAGGATGTCTCCTGCGCATGTGCTGGGGCGATGCTTCCGTACCCTTTTGCTTGCTTGTTCATCGTCGGTAGTCGGATTGGCTCGGAAGTGTGCTGCCGGGGATTAAACGTGAGTCCGATGCCGACAAACGGTTGCCTTGACGTACATTGATCGTCCAGCTTGATCGTCTCAAACTTGCTCGGGGAGGAGGCGGGTTGATCGAGGATCGGGGTGGCTTTCGTTGCGTTTCTGGCCGCTCTCTGGGTGGTTCTCCCGTGCGTGTGTGTGTGTGTGTGTGTGTGTGTTTAGTGCAGTTCGCATGTCCATGCAGGGTGGATAATATACAGTGTGCGCGTCCCGCCTGTGCATCTCGTTTAGCAAACAACAAACAAACAGCATGTACATTACATGCTGTTTGTTTGTTTGTTTGTTTGTTTGTTTGTTTGTTTGTTTGTTTGTTTGTTTGTTTGTTTTATTGTTTGTTTGATCGGTTGTTTGATTTGTGTGTGTGTGTGAGAGCGAGAGAGAGAGAGAGAAAGCGTGTCTTGGTTTGAGTCTGACCATCACACGTGCGATTGTAGTTTATGCCTACGCGTCCCGTTAGTAGACAACCATGTGTTGGTGCAGCGTTGCGGAGGATGCTGGTGATGGTGTGTCTGTGTGTGTGCTGTGTTATTCAGAGCGCATCCCACACTTACATTTTGTGAGCTGTGGGTCCTGGGAGGTGGCGGCCTCCCCTGGCATTGCGCGCGGGCGACGGCGGCGTCGACGGCTGCGGCGGCGGCGGAAGAAAGGAGGACGAGGGCGGAGAAGCCAGGATGACCAATAGGAGGCGGGGAAGACGGAGCCAGTCACCACCCACCAAGCCACGCCAACCCAACCTGAAGGCCTCAATTTGCCATCCAGTCCCAGAGGGGGTGGGGTCGGCGTCGGGAAACATGGGACCCACACATGTGGAGCCCGCACCCCCCCAGCCCGAAATTTGGGTCTTCGGGTTGGGCTGGGCTGTTCTGGAAAGTAGTCAGCCAGGAGCAAAACGACCCAGAGATCCGATGCCTTGGTTGTCTCAGTGCGGGGCCCCCTGCAGTCCTGCCCCCCGCCTGCTGGGACGGCTTCTCGTCCCGAGCCGTCTTCTGGCGGCCCTGGAGCTTGAAAGCAGACCCCGGCAGTCGCAGACAGCCCCAAGCCTTCCGTGTGATTGTTCCTGAACGCGAGGGAGGTTGCTGCTGCTGCTGTTGCTGCTGCTGCCGCTGTCGCCGCCGATGATGACGAGGATGATGATGAGGATGGGGATGAGGATGACGATGATGTTGTTGATGATGCTAGATGGATGATGGTGCTGATGCTGCTGCTGATTATGCTGCTGATGATGATAATGAGGATAATGATTATGATGATGATGCTGACGATGGTGAAGAAGATGTTGATAATGGCGATGATGACGAAGACGATTATGATCACGATTATGCTGATGATGGGGATGCTCATGAGGATGATGATGAGGATGATTGTTATTGTAATGATAATGATGATGCTGCAACTGCTGCTGATGATGATGACGACGATTACGATTAAGCTGGTGATGATGATTACGAGGCTGATGATTCTCATGTCCGTGATGCTGATGATGATGTTGATGCTGCAACTGCTGCTGATGATGATGGCAATAATGATGCTCATGCTGATGCTGATGATGATGCTGGTGATAATGTGTTCGTTGCCGCTGATGACTGCAACGCTGATGACCATGATGATCATGGTGACGAAGATGACACTGATGACGACGATGACGACGACGATGATGATGATGATGATGATGATGACCTTGCTGATGTTTATGCTGCTGATGGTGCTCATGCTGCTGCTGCTGCTAATGCTGCTGATGATGATGGCGATGACAATGCTGATTACGACCACGACGATGCTGATGATGATGGTGATGGTGATGGTGATGGTGATGATGATGACGATGGTGGTGATGATGATGACAAGGATGATGGCGATGACGCTGATGATGATGCTGATGCTGATGATGATGAGGGTGCTGATGATGATGCCGATGCTGATGATGATGCTGTTGCTGATGAGAACAATAAAAGCGGATGATCCTCCCCGTTCTGATGTTGATGCGATTGATTATGTTGATGATGATGTTTATGATGATGATGGTGATGCTGATGATGATACTGCGCATGCTGATGCTGATGCGGCTGATTATGCTGAGCTGCTGCTGATTATGGTATTGACGATGATGGTGACGACGATGACGATGACGACGACGACCACAACGACGATGATGATGATGATGATGATGATGATGATGATGATGATGATGATGATGATGATGCTGATGAGCATGATGATGACGATTATGATGATGACGCTACTGATGATGCTGAGATGATGATGAGAATGCTGATGATGCTGATGATGCTGATGATGGGGATGATGATATTGATGGTGGTGGTGGTGGTGCTGGTGGGTGTGGTGGTGATGAGGGTGATGGTGATGAAGACGCAGCTGCTGCTGCTGCTGATGATGATGATGATGGTGATGGGGATGGGGATGATGATGATGATGTTGATGATGATGATGTTGATGATGATGATGATGACGATTATGATGATGATGATCATGATGATGATGATGATGATGATGATGATGATGGTGATGATGATGATGATGATGCTGATGGTGATGCTGATGCTGATGCTGATGCTGATGATGGTGGTTGTGAAGATGATGCAGATGATGATGACGACGAGTAGGAGGAGGAGGAGAAAGAGGAGGAAGAAAAGGAGGATGATGAGGAGGAGCAGGAGGAGGAGGAGGAGGAGCAGGAGGAGGAGGAGGTGGAGAAGGAGGAGGAGGAGGAGTAGGAGGAGGAGGAGCAACACCAGCCTGCTTTTGTCGGCTCACATCGCTGGTCCCTCTGCCCCCCCCTCCCACACCTCCGCTCCGCTGCGTTGCCGCCGCGTCGCACTACACCCTCGCACCCCCACCTCTGGACCTCGGGCACCCCAGGAGGGGGGGAGGAGGGCGGCCCCCGCTCCAGGTGAGGCAAGCCGAGGTGGGCTTCAGGTCACCCCAAGGGGCTCGGGCCCATGCTCGGGCTCTACTCGCATGCACACCTCGGCCGACAGCCTCGCCCCACTCCCCTCCCCCCCCTCAGGCACCGTGATCTAGTATTCTGCCTGTCCTCCCTATGTGCGCATCGGTTGTCGTTGCCCCTTCCACCGGCGCTCTTGTGGGAGGGGTTCGAGGTCCGCACTCGAAGAGAAAAAGGTCCGCAGCTCGACGTTCAAAGGAGGAGGCGGCGGCGGCGGCGGAGGAGGAGGAGGAGGAACCAGGAGGAGGAGGACCCCCAGGGGGGTGCCCAGGCCGCCCGCCTGGCCTCCTACGCCCGGCAGTTGCAGGGCGTTGGCGCCGCGAGCCCGCAGGGCATGCAGCGCAGCGCTAGTTCCCCCGAGGTCAAGGGCCGCTCCAGGCTGGGGTGCGGCGACGACGACGACGACAACGACGGGGAGGAGGAGGAGGAGGAGGAGGAGGAGGAGGAGGAGGAGGAGGAGAAGGCTGCGTCTATCGAGGACTCCGAAGCCTACAGCCACAGGAGGAGGACGACGACGAAGAGATGGAGGAGGAGGAGGAGGAGGAGGACGACGACGACGACGATGGCGCTCGTCCTCCTTCTCCTCCTGCTGGCCCCTCCTCCTCCTCCTCCTCCTGGCCCCTCCTCCTCGCTGTCATCGTCGTCCTCGTCCTCCTCCTGATTGTTCTTCTTATTCTTCTTCATATTCTTCTTCTTATTCTTATTCTTCACTCCTCCTCCTCCTCCTCCTCCTCCTCGCACTCCTCCTCGTCGTCCTCATCGTCGTCCTCGTCGTCTTCCTTGTCCCTCCCCTTTCATCCTCTAGCAAAGGCTGGGGGGTGCTGTGAATCTCGGGGCGCTTTGTCCGCCTCGTCGGCCCGCGGAGCTTCGCGACCCTGGCTCCCGGGGATCAGCGGGGGAGGTTTGTTAGCGTTTTCGCCCGTTCTATTCGGGTTGATTGGGGATTGAGGCAGAGTTTCAGTGACGCGCTGCCGCTGGGAGCCCGTCATCGTGTTGCTCCTGCGTTTTTGTCAGAAGACTTAGTGCTCCCTCGACAGTAACACGCTGATTAGTTCCCCTCGGCGGCGGGTCGTTGATACGCGCTGTTTTGTTCCCCCACTCATCTCGAGCCGCCTCCTAGGGGCCTCCCAGGGATCTCCGGGGACCTCCGTGGGAGTCAGGATCTGGGGCGGGAGCAGGGCTTATCGCCTCGTCCTCCTCGTCGTGGGCCTCCTCGTCCTCCGCGCCCGGCGGACGTACCCCCGCTCCTCGGGCCATGCGCCTGCTCAGGCCAGCCGCGACTGGGTTCGCGCCGCTCGTCGACGGGC